AACTTCTTCATCCGATGTCCGTTTTCGTCTGTCTTTTTACCGTTGTACTACTATTGACGAGACCTCCGATTCTCGTTTAGGTTGTGTCGGCTAAAAATCACTCGATCTAAAATTCGAGTTTTTAGGTGTCTACTACTAATCTGAAACTTAAAAAAAATCATAACTTCCTCATATGAAGTCAGATTTGGGCGTTCTTTTTATGCACGCTCTTGGTTTAAAGAACACTACGACTTTCGTTTAGATTACTAAGGCTAAAAATCATTCTATCGTAAATTCACTATTTACGTCACGTAGTGTCGTGCCGGTTCTGTCGCGAAACTTCGACGGGTCATAACTTCTTCGTTCTAACTCAGATTTCAGCGTTCTTTATATGTACGGAAACCTTGTCACATATACTACAACTTAGTTAAGATTATTTATTCTAAATAATCCTCTATCAAAAAGTCATTTTTTTACGCTCATCGTCTCTAAATTGACTAGCCCGAATCTGCGGGCGTTACAATTATCTCCCCCTTAGGATGATTACATCTCGGAATCATAAAAAATAGGGCTTGTATAATGACTCCATACATTATCTCTTCATCCTAGGTAATAACTGTAACTTCTATGTTCCTTTGAATGAGTATCTAACTCTTGGACTTCTTAAATGCAGGCGGTGCGCAGTCTTGCATTTACTCCTCGTACTATGTTGGACTTTCAATCGTAACCTTCGAGTTACAAAATAAATCCTTATTGAGGACTCCTTCTTCTTCTTCTTAGAATAAGTACTTTCCTTCATTTAGTGTAACATACTGATGGGTCATGTTCTAATGACCTCTCATCGTATAATGCAATGCTTAGACTCAGGTCCCTTAGAGTCAAATTCCAGAATAGACTATACCTTCCTTCATGTTCTAATGTGATAAAATCACATTTCAACATGTATCATTTCTAACTACCAACTTCTTTAACAACGAGCGCGATACTTCTCTTGATCGCTTTGATCATCTTTCACTTCAATCTTCTGGCTTAAGTCAGATGCTACATCGAACTTGGTTCTCTAAACCACGTGACATACTCATCTTAGTCGGACTCGATTCGATATGACCTCTAGGGACGAAATAACAATAATCTTCTTAGTCATTACCGAAACGATGGTAACGACATACTTGAACAAAAACGAAATCAATTACTAGCTTCTTGGTAACCTTGTGACTTTCCCTGATCCAAGCGTGAGTCCTGTGCTTCCAGTAGTATAGGCCTCTACTACTATTCACACCTACTCATACTTGTTCCAAGTATTGTCTCGCAGTTTTCCAAGTCACCATACAAGAAAATCAATTAACCACTTAACACGCCAGATAACAAAACCAAGTTTTATATTACTTCTTGAAATGATTACATGGATGTTTATGTTTAATCTATAAGCACCACTAGATACTAACTACATGGCTACTTTATATCTTGGTTTTGGGAATATAAGGTCCTTACTCCTGATCCCCTGCATTTCCGTTTGCTTCGTCAAGGATTATTTGGAATGCCCTTGGTTTTGGTTTTGGTAGAACATTGGGCCTTGCTGCCTCTTTCTTCTTTGGGTAGTCTTTCAAAATGTGCCCTTCCTCGTTACATCTATAGCATACCCTTTTATTGGACGAACACTCGTTGGCGTAATGCCCAGTCTTCCCACACTTGTAGCAGGTCACCTCTTCGCTACATTTCCCTAAGTGCTTCTTTTTGCACTTCTCGCACCATTTTGCTTCGTTTACTCCTCCTCCAAGATTTCTTGATTCAGACTTGCTCTTCTTGTTGGAACCTGAAGTTCCTTCAAACTTTCTTTTCTCACCAACTTCAACCTTGTTGGAGGCTCTTCCCTTAATCATATCTTCAACAGACTTGGCAGACCAGATAGCTGCCTCTAGAGTAAGTGCCTGACGCACTGGTACCACATACTCCCATGGACGTCCCTTTGCGTACCTGTCGATTTTTGTCAGCTCATTTGGGACAATACGCAAAGCAAACTCCATTTTGTCTGTGAAGTTATTGGTGTATTCATCGATGGACATGCTCCCTTTCTTTAATGTCAGAAATTGGTTCTCTAGCTCAAGTAGATTTTGGGCTGAGCAGTACTTGCGCTTGAAATACACCAAGAACTCTGCCCAAGTTAGTTGCAGTGGCTCATTAGGGCTTAGGGTCTTCCCCAGAGTGTTCCACCAGTGAACAGCGCCACCTCTGAACTGACGCACTGCAAATATGGTTTGTAACTTGCCTTAGCAACCACATGTCATAAAAGCTAATTCCATCTCCGAGATCCAATCCATTACTCCGACGGGATCTTCTTTTCCAGTGAAAGTTGACGGCTTACAAGTCATAAAGTCTTTGTACTTGCATTCGTTTCTCTCGACTCCGTCCTCTTGGTTATTCCTCCTAACCACAAGCGGCTCAATTTGACCAACAGATCTACTGTAATTTCCTTCCTCTGACTGATCATCATTTAATTCAGGTTGTTCAACAGGTATTGAAAGTTCATCCCTGTTGTTCAGCAACATCTGCCTCATCTCTTCCCTCTGTTCGGTCATCATAGCCCGAATCATGGCTTGTACTCCAGCCATAGTGATTGGCTCGGGTGCAGCTTCTACTATCGGGACATGCTCAATCACTTGGGGTTGAGGCTGCTGATTTCTGTTTTCATTTGCGTTTCCAACTCCACTTCGAGTTCTTGCCATTTTGATCTATACACCAAATTAGGCGAATTTAGATCTTTATTCACGATAGACGTTCAAATCTTCATTATCACTTCGAAACATTTACATGATAGTTCTAATATCATAGTCATACGCTTAGAATCCTAAACACATAAGGTTTCCAGATCTGGTCGGCAACAGACCATAGATCCGAACAAATAATATCATATATGGAAAACATATAGCATTTAGCACATAAAAGCATTTTAGGCATTTTCCTAAAATATACTAGTGCTCGTGTCTAAAATATGGTAGACAATCATCTCACGATCATTGCTTAGCATTCTAATTTTATGTTTAGAAATTTCCTACAAATTCCTAGTTCGCTTTAAACTAATGCTCTGATACCAACTGTGACATCCCCATTTTTCTCGGCCAGAAAAGACCGATTTCGTTTATGCTTTTTAAATTAAAATCAGAGTAGTCTTTCAAAAGGTGTTGCGAAATTTGTCCCCAAAACAAAATATGATAAAAATTTATCAAATCATATCTTAAAAAAATGTATTTTCATTGTATTATAAAACCTTGGGATGTCATGTTCCGATACAGATCAAAAGCATAAACAGTACAATATAGGCCTTACAACATTTATTTATATCTACTGGCCTATAATCCAAAATCCCTCGTCATCGTCCAACTATGCTCTTGTTCCACTATCTGTAATATAGAAAACTGAGTGGGTCAGGCTTGGGAGCCTGGTGAGCATATAGGGTTTTCAACCCACAAATAATAAATTTATTAATTTCATCATTCAACAATAAATTTATTAATTTCATCAACCAAAAAATAACCCTGATTACCCGTTCCCGTATTCCCGTATTCCTCACTTTACGTTAATTTTAATATTATTATTTTTAACAGACCGGAACAGGAAAATTCGTTAAAAATTCATAACTTCTTCATCCGATGTCCGTTTTCGTCTGTCTTTTTACCGTTGTACTACTATTGACGAGACCTTCGATTCTCTCTTAGGTGTGTCGGCTAAAAATCACTCGATCTAAAATTCGAGTTTTTAGGTGTCTACTACTAATCTGAAACTTAAAAAAAAATCATAACTTCCTCATATGAAGTCAGATTTGGGCGTTCTTTTTATGCACGCTCTTGGTTTAAAGAACACTACGACTTTCGTTTAGATTACTAAGGCTAAAAATCATTCTATCGTAAATTCACTATTTACGTCACGTAGTGTCGTGCCGGTTCTGTCGCGAAACTTCGACGGGTCATAACTTCTTCGTTCTAACTCAGATTTCAGCGTTCTTTATATGTACGGAAACCTTGTCACATATACTACAACTTAGTTAAGATTATTTATTCTAAATAATCCTCTATCAAAAAGTCATTTTTTTACGCTCATCGTCTCTAAATTGACTAGCCCGAATCTGCGGGCGTTACACGTTATACAAGCCTCAAGCTTCTATGAACCGTAGCAAGTCAACTTGTTTGTAAAGCGTGACTTAAGACATAATATATATATATATATATATATATATATATATATATATATATATATATATATATATATATATATATATATAATTTAATTTACTAGTTGTGAGACCCATGTATTACAAGAGTTTATTTAAAAAAATAAACAAACATAAAGATCTAACAATTTAGAAAATTTAAATATATAAGAAAAAAAGTAAAATATTAATTATTAAAATTGAAGTGTTTATTTATCTTTTAAATTTAAATTAATAATTTAAATAAATAAACAACTAAAATAATTAGATTCAATTTAAAATTTTAGAAATTATAAGGAAAATTGCATGAATTAGATATACATTTATTAAATTTAAATATTATATGAAATTTAATAAAATAGAAAAAACTATAAAATGATACATGAATATAATTTAAGCTATATTTATCATAAAATAACATGTGCCATAATGCATAAGAGGATGACAAGTGACGATTTTTTTTTCATTTATTAAGTAAGATTTTTACATATATTCAAATTTATTTTTACATATGATTTGAAAAGACATTTTATTAGTCAAATATTTGACAGTTTTGAAGCCAGCCAAACTTTTTAGAACTTTGCAGATAACAAAACATTAAATTTAACAAAGAAAAAATAAAAATATATCGATGTATCTAATAATACACAATTTTGTTTGTATGTAAAGAAGTAAATAAAAGGAAATGATGTGTCCCTTCGTTGTATGTCGTAAGATAAATAATGATCTGCCTTCTGCTGTGGTGTCATGTGACAATCCAGACTCCAGAGTGGTATATAAATTGCGTCTGCAATCTCATTCTCACCCAAATTCATTTGCACTCTCTGTTTTCTCCACTCAATTCCCCTTTCTCTCTTTCTCTCTCTTTCTCTTGTTTTCAAAATGTTTTTCTTTCTGGTTTCTTGTTTCTGTTTAATTATTCTATCAAGGTTTTCCTTCCTCAAAACATTCCCATCTTGGAACTTCGAAGTGGGTTCTTATTCATTTCAATTTTTTTTTAAGCACCTGTTAAGAACAATCATGATTTCCCTCAGTCTCTGTCCTCTTGATCGAATGAAAAATAGTGTCATCAGTTCGAAAACAGAGGCTTTAGAAAAGAATAAGAAGAAAGATGATGTTTGCTTATCTGATCTGCCAGATTTGCCCTTGGAATGCATTCTTGAGAAGCTTTCTCCTGCCGGATTAACAAGTATGTCAGGGGTATCCAGGTCTTTTCGGGCTATGTGCACACAAGATCATCTCTGGGAGAGACACTTGAACCAGAAATGGGGTAAGATTTTGATGGGTGATTCTGTATATAAAGAATGGCAAGCCTACATTGACACCAAAAAGAAGCAAACCCTCTTGTCTTCATCAAATGGAAAAGGGTATTTTCGGGTTTTCACTACTGGTTTCTGGTGGAAGAAAAATGTGAAATTGAACAACACCAGTATTTGTTTGCCTGTCGATTCGATCATGGCTTGGTATCTCTCACTTGAAACCGGAAACTTTTCTTTCCCTGCTCAAGTTTACAACAGAGAGGTAATTAATTCAGCCCAAAATTAAGCACTTTGACTTTTTCATGTCAAACATAGTACATCTAAAACGGAAAATTGACTTGGATTTCGTTCCAAATTTCCACAACATTCTTATTATACCACAATCACTTACTACAAACTTTCATTTACCATTTTACATTTCTCAAAAAGGTAGAAACTTTACATCAATTTTGAATTTTAAAAACTAAGTAGTTGACCATGTCAACTCTATAAAGTTTCTTTGATCCAATTGTTCATCGAAGGTTTTTCTGATATATGTGTATGATGTTTGAATTGCAGAATGGAAATGTTGGGTTTTTATTGTCTTGTTATGATGCAAAAGTTAGCTACGATTCCAACTCCGATAGTTTCAAGGCGAGGTAAAAGCTTCAATCTTTTGTTCGATTACGACCATGTTCTACAAAACCCAACTCAGATTATGATTTTCTTTATTTCTAATTTGCAAAGAAAGTGATGATATCCAATAAAACGATCTTCTTTATTTAAAATTTCTTGATATTCGTGAAGTTAATGGATTGTGGGGTTGTGTAGATACTTGGCACACGGTAGGCCAACAACCGAGGAAAATATCAAATGGGAAAGGCTAAGATCGCCAGTAGTTGATGCATCACCATATGATCTTCATGTCTCTTCTTGTTTGACTGATTTACATCCAGGAGATCACTTTGAGATTCAATGGAGGAAATCTAAAGAGTTCCCTTATGGTTCGTTATAATTTCAATTACTTTATATTTAAAATACTTTTTGAATAAACTTTCATTTTCTATTTGACATCACTTCCTATAAGACATACATGATCTATCCATTCAGCACTTAATGGGAGGAAAATAAAGAAACATACGTATGTTTGCTATAGATGCTTGTACCATGTGCTTAACCACGTGTACTTTGATTATGTATTGTAGGTTGGTGGTATGGTGTTGTTGGCCACTTAGAATCATGTGACGGAAACAAGCTTTATTGCCAATGTCATCGTAGTGGTGAGTCTTCCCACCTTGTGGCTTGTGGTCACAATTTTTCTTAATTTATATTTATTAAATTAAGTTAATAAAAAATATAAATTCTTGTTCATATAATTTGATTCATAGTATTTACCTCATGGTAAAAAAAAAAATCACCTAGGTTATAGTTTTCACGCACCACGGTTCATAGGTATAGGGATAGGGCCTAGACTGAGGGAACCGGTGAACCATGGTATACAGTTATTAACTATAAAATTGGAAAGGGTTTATTGCAACTAGCTTCTAGGTCTTTTTAGGATACGTCACGCATTGGTGGTGGTCCAAAGATATGATTTGCTTTTCAAGAAATTTATAATTAAGGATAAATATTATATTATTATAGTATGAATGTGGTGCTCCTTTTTTTTTGTCACCAACAATTATATGCACATTAGATTCTTGCTTTAACATAGACAAGCCATTAGACTAGGAGTGTATTTAATTGTTTATGATTAAAGGGTACACTTTTATCCTATTTCGGCCACCTTTTTATCGTTAAAATTGTCCAATAAACGCAGTTATGTTCCTTTAGTTACAACACAATGAAAAGTTAAAAACTATCATGATATTGTTGTACTAAATAATGGAACAAGTGTCTTTGAAAGTTGACCGAATTCATTTGAATTCAAAAAGATTGAGCTTCAAGTTTGATCTGCTGGTAAGTTTTAGGTGACCAGTATAGGTAGATTCTAATGTCACGAAATAAATAAAAAAATGAAAAAAGACGGAGTCAACAACAGAAAAAAAACAGTTTCACCTAAATCACAACGAGATGATTTCTTCTATGTTGTATTTACTTATTATAACATAAAATATATTTATATGGAAATTCAATTCAATTCCTACAGACACAGTTATGTTGGAGTTCAAGCAGTATGGCTTGGGATCAAGATGGAGGGAAGTGGTGATAGATAGAAAGGATCATCGTGAAGTAGGCAATGAAGAAGATGGATTTTATGCAGGAATCAGAAAACTTTACAACGATCATGAGATCTTGGTCTGGAAAGCCCTTTGGCCCACTAAGCCATTGGAATGAATAACTTGAGTTAACTGTTAAGAACTTATTGTAAATAGAATCATGTTTAGGAAGAGATTCTAGAATTAGTAGGTTGTAAAATTGTAATGTAAGAGATGAATTTGGGATCAGTTTTTGTTAGTTGATGCACATATATATGTATGAGATAAAGTGCCATTGTACAAAAAGGTTAGGGCTAAAGGATATATAGGTGTATAAGAATCATGTTAGTTAGCTTTAGTTCTCAAGTTTACAGTTCATGTTCATTTAGGTTTAACGATATATAAGAATAATAAATTTTATACTGTTTACATATTTAGTCGACTTAAGTTTTTTTTTCTTTTAACCATTAAATTTTTTTAGGAAGAATTTCATATATGTTTTTTTTTAATTTTGCCCTTGATTTTTTAATTTATTTAAATAAACACACCCCAACCCCACTTCCACCTCACCATATTACCTAACTCACTTTATATAAATAAATTTAAAAAATCAATGGCAAAATAGTATTTTTAGGTAAGACAGGGACCAAACGCGCAACAAAAACAAACTGTAGGGACCTTCCGAATTAAAAAAATAAGTTAAGGACCAAACGTGCAAATTACCCCAAACCATAAGGACCATTCGTGTAATTTACTCAAATATTATATTTTTCCAACTTAAATTTTTAATATCATATTTATTCTTTAAAACCTTCGAAATATCATATTTATCCAAATCTTTTTTTACAATGTTTTTAATTTTTTATATCTTAGAATTATTATAATAATTAAAAAATTTAACCATATTATCCATACGCCTATAATAATACAACATCTACTTCTAAATTGTTGGAATATCGTTCTCTTGACAAACAAAACGTTTCATCGCCAACCCTCTCCATGGAATGTATGCATTGATTGTTTAGTTTTTATTGTTGTTGAATATTGTAATGTTATAGATAGAAGATATTTTAGATATTAATTTAGATATTAATATTATTATTGATATTTTGATGTTTAAAAATGTCATATAATATTTTGAAATTTAAGAAATGCATATATATGATATTTTGATATTTAAGAAGGCATATACGATATTTTATAATTTTAATGAATAGTAAGTGAGATATTTTTAAAAATTAAGTTTGACAAATATGATATTTTGATGTTTAATAAGGTTATATATGAAATTATCCTTAATATTATATACATTTAATCATTTATATACATATATATTTTTAAACATATGACCGTTAAGTTTAATGGTTATATATATATATATATATATATATATATATATATATATATATATATATATATATATATATATATATATATATATATATATATATATATGGGAAGGGTTATATGGAAAACAAATAAACCCTAAAAATCATAAAAATGCATAAAAAAATACTTAGAGATTACAGTTTTTTTTTAACAAATTACTGAAATCGTCCCTATGGTTTGGTTAAATTTGCGTGTTTGGTCCCTAACTTTTGTTTTGCACTCGGACCGTCCCTATTGTTTTATTTGGTTGCGTTTTTCGTCCCTCACAGACATGAAAATACTATATTACCCTTGGTCATTTCTTTTTTGATTTATTTTCGAATTTTTTAATATTAACCTTTTAAAGATTATTATTAAAAATAATAAATATGGGTCCCTCACCTCATTATCTCTTTCCCCTCCCTCGTCATCACTCATCTCCCTCATCCATTCTCGTCCTCTCATTTCTCACCGGAAGCCACAACCACCAACGAAGCATCACTGGGAAACCACCAAGAAACGTCATCGAAAGACACTAGGAAACCACCGATTTTCATCATCAATCTCTTCTCTTCATCTTTCTGCCCCCATCTACTCTATCCTCGCTCTTCCTTCTTCGCCATCTACCTGAATAGATGGAGCATCATGTCCGCCAAAATCCGCCAAAATCTGCCAAAATCCTCCAACCACCACCATCTCCTTCACTGAGTGTTATTCCCATTTAACCCCATTCTTCTGGAAAACCGTATTTGATTTCAAGGATTTCATCAGTTTTTTCTTTCATCGTCATTTTCAGATTCGGTTTTGCTTTTTGGGTTTGATTCCATATTTGGATTTCATTTCAGTTTAGGTTTTGATTTTGGGATATTGGTATTTGACTTTGTTTAGGTTTTTGATTTCAGAATTTGATTTTGTTATGGTTTTGATTTCTATGTTCAGGTTTTGATTTCTATGTTCAAGTTTGATTTTCAGGATTTGATGTTGGGGTGTGAATTAATGAAATCGATTATGTAGTCTGTATTAGAGCTAAAATTGGTGGATGCTAGTGATGTTGGAATCGTTTGGTGGTGGTTACTGGTGGTGGATGGTGGCTTTCAGTGGTTGGTGGTGGTTTTCAGTGGCCTATGGTGGTTGTCGGTGGCTTATGGTGGTTGTGGTGCAAGTGGGAGGGACGATTTCAGTAATTATTTTCTTTAATTAATAAATAATAAATAAAATAACAAAAAAATGAAAAAGAAGAATAGAAAGGGTAATATAGTCTTTTCATCTTGGGGGAGGGATGAATATAGTCTTTTCATGTCTGTGAGGGACGAAAAACGCAACCAAATAAAACAATAGGGACGGTCCGAGTGCAAAACAAAAGTTAGGGACCAAACACGCAAATTTAACCAAACCATAGGGACGATTTCAGTAATTTGTTCTTTTTTTTAGACTTTATATATACAAAAATCGCAAGTTTTTTAATAATTTCGCTAAAAAAAATAAAAAAATCGAATTCTTTTTTTTTTGGTTTTTTTTCAAAAAAAAAATTCAACGAATTTATTAAAAAACTTGCGATTTTGTTTATATAATGTCAAAAAAAAGATTTGTAATCTCTAAGTATTTTTTATGCATTTTTATGATTTTTAGGGTTTTTTTTAAATATTTGTTTTCAAAAATTTATTTTCCATATAACCCTTCCCAATATATATATATATATATATATATATATATATATGGTTAGGTTATTTTGTTTTTACTAACTATTGTGTGCCAGAATGCACAGATCTGGACCACCGGATGGAATAGAATCAAAGATCATGATCTGAGAGTCTATGATATTACAATAGGGTTACATGCACCATATAATTACACAATTTTCAGCATAAGGGTATTTTGGTCAACTTACCTATATTAAAAAAATGAAATTTTCGGATTTTAAGGGATAATTAATTCCTTTATTTATAAAAACCTGAATATTTTAAATTAATTCAAATTTAAAAATCTGATTTTATTCTGTCAGAATGACAAAATTCCAACCATAAACTAGTAAATATATTTTCGATTTTATTCTTGCAAAATACATTTCCAATGCAGTTATATTTGATAATTGACCTGATTTAAGAATAAGATATTATTCATATACATCCTACTTGGGTCTATGATTTTATTTTTAATATACATCCGAAATTAAATACAAATTCATACATATTCTTACAGACTAATATCCGTCTACATTTTAATATAGTTATACATATTTTAACAGAATATCATCAAAAATGAATAAAATTCTTAAAAAATAGCATTCTTGAATATACAATTATTAAACAAATACACTTGATCCTCTTCAATGGTCCATATAATCAACTTGATCTTCACATATATACTTGTTGTTGAACTCGCTTCCAAATATTTCTCTTGTATGATCAATATTGAATTCCTTCTCTATGCAATTCTAAAAGAATAAGATACATTACTCGTTAGTATTACGAGTTAAACAAATATACTTGTTGTTAACAAATATTCTCAAAGACATTCTAACAGAATGCATTTATATAAATAAATTCTAACACAATACATTACAGAATGCATTTAAATCATAGTCTTTTCTTCTATATGCATAAACATTCTAAAGCATGTATAAATGTATTTTGTCAAAATTACTAGCAACACATGTTTTATGTAATATTTATATTCTCATAGAATGAACATGTGTTTGCATTCTGATATTAAAAAAAATTCCCAGCTTAACCGTTTTCATGCAACTTCTGACAGAATGTCAGCTTAACCCTTTTCATCAAAGACAAATTTAGAACAATCAAGTATCAAGAACAAATGGAAAATCAAGAACTATCTATCATTATTTAAGTCAGCTTCTAAATTACAAAATCAACTTGAATGATGGATATTTATAATTAAAGAAGAATGAGAGCACAGTGGGTATACTAGTGAAATCGGAAATCAACAGGAAGGATAATCGGAAATCAAAGAATCGAAAATCAGTGAATAAATCAAATGGAAAATCCATGTAAAGAATCGTAACTCACAAATAAAACAAAAACTAAGAATGGTAAAAGCATGTTACTTGCAATTCATATCACTTAATATATTATGGAAGAATACATAGAATATGATAGAATACATAGAATACATTCTGGTAGAATACATAGAATACATTCTAACATAATACATAGAATACATACCACTATTTTCTTATTCCAGTAAAATAGTAAACAACACACATATGCAAAATCCATTGCAATTTGCAAGCAAAATCCACTTTGCCAAAACTCAATCAAACAATACTGAATCATGTAGGAACAAGAAATGCAAAATCTATCTAATCTAGTTTAATACCAATAATAAAAGAGCGTGAAATGGGATTGAAGAAACCGAATGCAATTCCAAACTTAATCCAAATCAACTAGCATCAACCTATTGTTATGAAAAGGGCATCCAACCCAATCTAAATTAAGTTATATAGTTCTGAAAAAAAATAAGGAATAAAAAGAAGTAAAAACATTAAAGATTATTAACTATTTTTTCATTGAGGCATTTTATCGAAAACATGGAGGTCATGACAGTATCATATTGAGGCATTTTATCGAACACATGGAGGTCATGACAGTATCATATCCGACAGATCTGACAGGAACTAGAGATAGAATATATGAAGTCAAAGAAGGATGAAATAGAAACAAATAGATAAGATTTATAGTTATATTGTAGCAATCAAAAAATATGAAAAAAAAAATTACCCTGTCAAATAAGAATTTGAAAACTTTTACCAATTCTACACTGTACCACCAAACAATAAGATTAAATAGGTCAATATCCAACGCAAAGACACAAAGGAAAAAAACTGAATACTAATTAAAGCATAAACATATGTATAAATTACAATTCCCTTGCACAGACTAACCTTGCACGTACAAACTGTTTGATAGTATGAAATCAAAAAAGAGGGAAGTACGTTTACTGATGACTGAAGAAGA